CAACTCGGGATACGCCCAGAGTCACGGAACGGATTAAGTTCGTATCCCGAGGTACCACTGTCACATCTGGAATAATCTGTTTTCTCTTACCTGTCAGCAAGTTATTTTATTTTTAAGGAGAGAACTTGAAGGGATTTTGGTGCCCTGGGGGAAAGGCTCAAAGGACCTTCCTCTATTAGCCAGGTTGGAAGCAGCTAGAATAAATAGTGTTTAGCTGACATTCTCTGCAAGCTCACAAATATAGACAAGACCATGATTCTAACGCTATGAATAACAGCATGGATCTGGAAAGTATTAAGGCAGCTTAAAAGTACTCCAAATTATTTATACTGTATGTACTTCTTAAATGCTTGGAAAATGAATGGCCTGATGTTCTGGAAAACCTCTCCCTTATGCCAAAGTGACACATTATTCATTCTGCATTTGCTAAAGTACTTGGTCATGCAGTTCTAATTCAGAGGGGATCCATAGCCCACTCAATGTCTCTGAAGTGCATTTCCCATGCTGCTGCTAAGAGTCATTCTTCTGCAAGGCCTGGGGGTCTGTTTGCACACTCTTGTCTGCTTTAAAGAATTTGAGAGTCAGTGAGACAGCAGATTCTGAAATAGCTTGACTGAGCTGCCAGACGGCTTCCAATTTAATAAAGTTTTTGGCAACAAATTCAATTTATGCCATAGATAAAGCTGACAGGCATGAAATCTTATGGACATGTAGACGTGACTCCAGTTTCATTCCTCTGGGGCTCTGCTATTTCTTTATTCATTTTATGTCTAGAAATATGCTATTCAACACTGTAGCATATCACCATTTCCTGAAAGGACTTATTTTTAGCAGGAGCTTTTTTATTGCAATTCATACCTGTTTGGGACAATTTCTAAGAACAGGAAAGCATAAAGGCATTTTCCCTGCCCCTTATCACCCCACTCTAGACCTTCTATTGCTGTGCAGGATAAGTATTAGAGAGTTTCGATCCTCAAATGGAGAAAGGGCTTCTAAGACAGAATCATCCCTGTATACTGCTGAGGAGTTTTCTTAACTTCATGGCATGCATCCATTTCTCACAAATCCTATCTCATGAATACTTACTAGTCGGGTATTTCCACTTGCCAATACTTCAGCAATAGATTGAAAATGACTCATAGTTATCTCCCCTTCTGTAGCTGAGAAATACAGAGATCAAGGAGCAGAAATCATGCATCTGTCCCAACCTGCTGCAGGTCCTGCACTGACAAAAGTCTCCCACTCTATGTCTACACAAAATGGAAATGAAAATCTCTGCAGTTTGATGCAACTGACTAATGCTTTCTCCCATGTGCTGTTCATCTGGGCTGCTGAGACAGAGATGTGAAGCTGTCAGGCTGTTATTGCTCTTATAGGATCTGCTTGGGTGGGTGAAGCTCTGCAGCCAGAAAGCCTAGTGGGGCAAGAGTCCCCTCTAAAAGGGTATAGCTTGCCCCCAACTCCTACACACTTCGAGCATTTCCTGCCAGACTGGATTTTCTGGCACTGAATGATCCAGAAATAAATTGACTCAGCAGCCAGAGACATCTCTGTGAGGTGATGAGCTTATTTGGGAGTGATGCAAAACCCTACTGTAGAACTGCTCTGAACCCAAGTGCTTTCTGGGGTGTTGGATTTCAGCTTCCATAATCCCCAGCCAGACCAGTTTAATCATGAAACAATTGGGCGGCAATTTATTATATTTAATGCTGTATTTCAAGAATTCAACAGAGATCAAGGATGATGATGATGATGATTTAATCAGCTTATCAGAGCAATTTTCAAATCCAGTACTTACTTGAGTATAGGTTCTATCTGTTGGTATTTCTATCTACTTTCATATTATATTTCTTTCTAACCTCTCCTCTTACTATTCCTTTTCCTTCAACTATGGGTGTATAAATGTAATATGCATCTAACAAAGGTAACAGTAGTATATAGAATTCTATGGCACAATAAATTTGTTAGTCTTTAAAGTGCAATAAGACTCTTTGTGGTTTTTGTAAACTCACAAGTTCTTATCCATACAGAATTTTTTAAAAACAATGATTTTTAATCCACAATTTTTAAAAAATTATTTATTAATAAATTTTAGGAAAAGACACAAAAGAGAAACAAAAGGAGGAAAGAAAAAAATTGATACAGAAATATCTTTATGTGGACAAAGGAATTACAAAATTGTATAGTTAGTAGTCAGTATATCATTGATAAAAGATTAACCATAAAAAGTACATTAAATTATTTTAATAATGTAAGAATTTGAATCTCTGAGCTAAGTGTTGAAATCTTTACAGTACTATTTGTTGTTTAAGAATTCAAAAAAGAAGAAGAAATATTAAAACATTATAGATAAATATTACTTTCTAACTTCCCCTGTATTGTACTCTGACTAATGTACAATATTTATAGACATTATTTTAAATTATTTTAAGTTCTTTAGTTAGTTCCTTTTCTCCTTAAAAACTATATTCTAAATACTTATATTTGCCTTGCTGTATAATATATAATATGTATGGAAGCCATTCTTACTTAAAATTGGCAAATTTTTATGCTTCTGTGTGCCAAAAGAATTCCCCAAGTATTTCTAAAAACACTCTGTACTGAGAGATATAAAACCACCTGGGTTTACTGTTAAAAGGGAACAAGTGCTCTACCACAAACCTTTGCAGGGTACATTTCTATGCTGCTAGTTGTGTTTATGTTCATGCCCTCTTCTAGGGTAACTGGAAAAAGCTTAAACTAATTACTTTTATTACATTTTTCCTTTTTTTAATAGTAATTTTATTAAAAATTACAATTACAATAAAAACTAATACAAATTAGAAAAAATAACAGAACAAAAAGAAAAAATAGAAGGTGCAGAAAAGAAAGAAAAATAGAAAATAAATAAAAAATAAGAATATAGTAAAGAAAAAGAAAAGAAATATATAAAGAAATGTCTACTTCCCCCTTCATCACAAAAAGTATAAACAATTTTAGTAACTTATCACCTTCTCTTAAAATACAACAAATCATCTCTTCTTCCCATATCCCATCTCTTAACTGTAAACAAATTGAAGGGGGAAGTAGACATTTCTTTATATATTTCTTGAAGGGGGAAGTAGACATTTCTTTATATATTTCTAAAGTATAAACAATTTTAGTAACTTATCACCTTCTCTTAAAATACAACAAATCATCTCTTCTTCCCATATCCCATCTCTTAACTGTAAACAAATCCTTAAAGCCTCATCATTTCAGTCCTGATGTCAACAAAAGTCCATTTAAGGGTTACCAGAAATAGCAGCATCTCTATTTTACCCTTGATCAAATAAACCACTTCTATATTCACTTTGTGTGAGATGGGCTGCTATATAAATACAATCAATCAATAAATATTCCTTCCTTTTACTTCTAAT